CAATCTCACTAATTCTGACTTCCATTGCCTAAATTCTGCTCCTATGACTTTTTATTGAGTTGTCTAATTCAGAAATTTTATTGTTAATCTTCTGGATTTCTGATTGCTGTCTCTCTGTGGATTCTTTCAGCCTGTTAAATTTGTCTTTATGCTGTTTGCTAATCTTTTTAATTTCCTCTATTGTGTGTTCTGCATTTTGCTTAATTTCCTTCATAATGTCTTGAAGAGTTCTGTATATTAATCTTTAGTATTCTGCCTCTGATAATTCCGAGAAATTTTCCTCCTCTGGAAGATTTCTAGATTCTTTATTTTGGGGGCTGGCTGAAGCCATCATGGATTACCTCTTTATGTGATTTGATATTGACTGTTGTCTCCGAGCCATCAATAAGTTATTATATTTATTTATTTTATGTTTGCTTACTGTGTCCTAGCTTCTTGTTTTGTTTTGATATGTTCAAATAGGCTGTTCGTAGGAGCTAGTTTGATTATTGACACCTTTGAAGTTCTTATGTCCTGACAAATTTAACAGGTGGTTAGATATGTTACTAGGTATATGAGCTCAGGAGTCCACCCACTCCTCCTGTATCGATTCAGCTCAGGTGCCCAGGTAGATAGGCACCAAGTGCGTAGTATAGGTTTTCACTTACAGTCCTAGACAGGCATGGGTGATTGGTGTAGGCACAGGCCTCTGGCTGCAGCAGGGGGACACACTCTGAGCAAGGCAGGGAGCTGACAGCCACCACCGAGTGTCCAGGAGGAAGGCGCATCCCTGTTCCCTAGAGCACGTAGGTGGGTGGCTTTTGCAGCCAGACTATGAGCACCTAATGCTGTTGGCTGTAAGGACTGGGGGGCACCTCTTATTCATGGGCCTTATCGCAGGTGGCTAGGTGGTGTGGGTGGAGCCACCAGTCCTCAGGCCCCTGATGTGGGTAGGTGAAGACCCTGCTTAATGAGCAGAGCAGTGTCAAATGTTAAGAACCTGCCACTTCACAGCTGAAACAGTTGAAGTTAGAGTTCTGGTATATACCCTGTTGTACTGCGGTAATGAGGGCGTATGCTGTTGAAATGGGCCCATACAAGTCTACGCAGGGGAAAAGGCACTCAAAGTCCGTGGATCCTTTATGCCTGTGCCTAGGCAAAGGAGCTGTGCCTACCCTGGGTTTCTGGCTTAGGGGAGCTGGCAGTTTATTTTTTCCCCTGTATGTTAATTTGTTCACTGTCCAAGGCAGGGAGAATCGGTCTGGGCATGTGATGGATCCTACTTCCGGCCAAGGGAACTCGGCAGTTGCTGAAGCCCGTCTGGGACCCAGTGCAGAGCAGGGAGGTAAATGGGAGAGAGGTTTTTCCCTAAGGGGGGAGTGTTTTTGATCCGCATAGTAGGCCGTACGCAAGTACTTACCTTTCGCCGCTCCAGGGCTGCTTCTCACTTCTTCTGGGTGGCCGTGTAGACTGTCTGGTGCTGGGTCTCTCCTGGTGTGGAAAACGCACCTCCTGAGCACCACCGCTTGTGTGCCTCGCTGCTTACCCCAGAGCTGATCAGGCCTGAAGGGCTCAGGCTCTTGCCGGGTCAGGTCTGGCAACTCCTTGATGCTTCCGAACCGTCTTTCCCTCCCCCCGCCACTGAGTCCAGTTCCTCAACTCTGCCTTTGATGTTTAGGGCTGTTGCCGTATATAATCGATTCACTTGTTTTTTCAGGTCTTTGTTGTAAGAGGGTCCACCAGAAGCGTCTGACTACTCCACCATCTTTGCCCTGCCCAAAAGTTTTTAATTTTGATGAAGTCCAATTTATCTATTTTTGTTTTGTTACTTATACTTTTGGTGTTATATCTAAGAAACCATTGCCTAACCCAAGGTCTGGATGATTTACCGCATGATTTACCCCGTGTTTTCTTCTCAGAGTTTTATAGTTTTAGCCGTTACATTTAGGTCTTTAATCCATTTTGAGTTAATTTTTATGTATGGTAGGAGGCAGTGATCCAACTTCATTGTTTTGCGTGTGGTCATAACTGTTTAATCCATGTTCCCATTGTATACGTATCTTGAAAATCAGACTGCTTTCCTGGTCTTTCCTAATGTGGTATCAGAAAATGTTTTACTGTTTTTTATGCAGGCTTCACAATTGTTTTTTAATCCATGCATAGTCTATCCAGTCCATGTACCACAATATCCCAAATCTCCCGTATCATTTTGAACATTTGGTCTTTTTCATGCTTAGAGTTGTTATAGGGACAGATGCTGTAAACATTTGTGTCCACATAGCCCCTTTGCTTCTATAGAATTGGTTCCTTAGGAGACATTACCAAGAGTGGGGTTTTTTTGGTCGAATAGTATGAACATTTTTCTAGTTCTGTGCTATATGTTGCTTTTTGGTTTCCAAAAGGGCAGTTACCAGTTTAAAGTGCCATACCCAATGATATATGCATTTCACTGGGATTTCACAAGTATTGGTGTTACCCTTCTAAAAGTTTTTTGGTAACTTATCAGATATAAAATAACACTTCAAGTTTACTTTAATTTTCATCTCTTTTTTTTGAAGAATTAATTTGTGTTTTCTAAATCCAAGTGATAGTGTATGAAAAGTCAAAAGGTGCTAAAAGTTTATAACAACAACAGTAGCATCCTCACCCAACCACTTTTAATTATTTTAATTATGTATTACTTAAAGTATAAGTTTGGCAGCTATGAGTCCTAGAAAAACAGTGGCTTTAAAAGACAGAAGTGTATTTCTTGTTCACGTGAAACTCTGAGCAGGTGTGAAAACTCTACTTTGTGAGGTGGTCAGGTCCCTTTCTGTCTCCCTACTCTGCCCTTCCTAGTGTCTTGCCCATGTTGGTGTGGCCTAAGATACTGTACACCATATGTATTCCTGCAAGTGAAAAGAGGAAGAAGAAGGGCTTACTTCTTCCCTTTGAAGACATGACCTTGAAGTTGCTTCTGTACATAACCCCACAGCCACACCAAGCTCCAAGGGAAGCTAAGCAGTGGTGCCATTAGCTAGGTAGTCACGTATCCAATAAAACTTCTACTGCTGAACAGGAGGGGAAGGAGGATATTGGGGTAACTAGTTGTCTGGCCACAAGCTCTTTCTCTGGTATGGACTTCCATGTGTCTGTATGATATGTCTACACCACTGTCTCTAATTTACCAGTTCTAGACATTACCTTTTTGTTGTTGTTGAGTGCCATCTAGTTGATTCTAACTCATAGTGACCCCATGTGACAGAATAGAACTGCCCCATAGGGTTTTCTTGGCTGTAATCTTTACAGGAACAGATTGCCAGGTCTTATTCCCATGGAGCTGCTGGGTGGGTTCAAACTGCCAACCTTTCAGTTAGCAGCCAAGCACTTAACCGTTGTGCCACCAGAGCTCCTTTTAGACATTACCTAGTGACTTCCTGTTATGGTAGGTGAAGATTTTTATTCTTACTCCACCATCCTATACCTTCTGTCCTCCTGATAGCATTATATCATCATTGCAGAATTCAAAAATATACCCCTCTTCTTTGAGGAGGAAAAATGTGGAATCAGAAACAGAGGTCTCCACTGAGAAGTGAATCAGTGCTCGGGTAGCTCGGGCAGCAGATTCTCCAGCCAGTGCACCTGTGTTGGGGCTGCTTGCTGACGGCAGCCTTGCAGACCTCCTCATCCCATGCTTCCTGACACCCAAGGTGAAGGAAGATAAGAGCTTGCTTAGATGCCTACAGAGCCTGCCTTTACATCTTTAGAATGTAATTCCTAACTCCTAGGTTTATTTTAACTTTGGGGTTTATAAAACATGTTTTAGATAATTACATGGCAAGTGTTGTAAATAGTAAGCATTAAATAAATTATAACTTGTTAATTGCTTATGATGTAAATAAACTCAACTCACTAATTGCTTGTTTACATCCCCCATCCCTTCTTTTTGGGGGGATTTTATTTGGTCTTTATGCGTCTGAACCTGTATATACTCAGTGAGAAAAATGTATGTATCGTTCTTCTCTCAGGTGTAGCAGTTGTAACAAGCTTCATTAAAGATGGCAACGTTTTTGGATAAATCCAAATTACATGTTTTATTATGACCACATAAATATTGTTCACAGCTGAGACATGTATATTATGACATGTATATTTTCCTACTTATATAACTTAATTTTTCCTGAAGCTCATAAATTCCTTACTTTATTTTTTTCATTTGCTTTGTGCTCTTTGAATTTCTGGCTAAGTCTTCCCACACCTTCCAACAGCTCTTTAAAACTCCTCTCAATACAGTTTTCTACATATTCCAACCTGCCAGATAATCTCTCGATTCCCTTGTTTTCCTGAAGATGCCTCCTGGGGCCCTCTGTCCTGCTCAAACGTGACCAGCCACTCTCCAGGCCTCTGCCATACATCTATCATCCTAGAACTTCTCTCTATGTTTGTTCTGTAAGTGTGCTTACTCTCTTTCCTTTGTTGGACCCTCTGTTCCCTAGGTCCCCTATCTGTCTGTTTCTTGATTTATCCCTTCATTTTGCTGGAACACATCCTTCAGTATATTCAAAGAATGGTTACTTGGAAGGAAATGTTTGACTTTATATATTTGGAAATCTCTTTCCTCCTCTCTGCTCAGTCATTTTCTACGGCCCTCCCCACTTCCATCTTCAAGTGTTGTGGCTTGAAGTTTCAGATGTCTCTTAACTTTACCATAGACAGATTTTTGTTTCTCATTCTTCTGTGTATTCAAGGTATTTTTCAAAAGGAAAAGGAGGGTGGTGGGAATGTCTTTACCCCACCATCGGGGAGGCAAAAATGACATTTTCACTTCTTTGGTTATGAGCACAGATGAACGTTTTCCCGTGTTCTTTTGATTTTTCCTCTGGTGTGAATTATCTATTAATACTCTTCAGAGAACAAATTCTTTAACGATTAGCACAAAACACAGAAGTTCTAATGCTTTTTTTCTCACTTGTCTGCTCTGAGATCAGATGTGATGGTGTCCCAGTTGACCGGCGTCCACGGTTATTTGCATTCATTTTCAGATTGCCTCACGACCGTGATGGCTGTGAACATGCTCACCCAGCAGGAGGTCCCTGTGGTTATCATGGCCAAAGCAGACTTTGAAGGCTCTCTGGATTCAAAAATAGGTAAGCAGCTATTAACATACAATCATGGGAATATATTTTGCAGTCTTAAGATCAAAATACTAACCTATTGCTGTCAACTGGAAGAACCAAATATTGAGCCATGATTTTGTAAAAATGAATGCCCCTTCATTTAACCATCCCTTACTTAAGAACTGCATTCTGAAGACATACTGAGTATGTTGTACCTTGCTAGTTTCTATTGAGAATAACAAGGACATATCTGACCCACAAACCTTGCCTTCAAGCTAGTTGGTGAGACTTGTACATACAGTGTGAGGAACAGTACAACTCAGATGAAAATCCAGTTTCAGAATTCATAAAACCAACAGCAACTGCTGAGCTGGGGGTTCAAAACACAAATGATTGATGTAGGCTGGGTTTTTGGTGAAGGCTTTGTGGAGGAGGCGAACTTGAGCTATTCAAGAAAAGGAGCAAATTGAAGGCGTATTTAGAACTGTAAATTGGATGTCTTTGGCAGTCTTACTCATTCGTGAGTGTTCTGAACTATCGTCACATAACAGGAAGTCTGAGACTGAACAAAGGGATGGAAACCAAAAGATGGCCCTGCCCACGGTCCCCTGCCTTTAGAATGGACCCGTGCTTCTCTGTCTACTAGTATTCCTACTGTAGATTCCAACCAGTCTCCAGATGCCAAAACCCTACAGAGAAAGTTATTTCCAGACTCTCTGTTTCCTAGCACACAGAAGAAATAGCTCTCCTTGTAAAAATCATGTTTTCCTCATAATGCTCAGATGAGTTTTTGACAAAGTGATTTGAAGAAACATCTAAACAGAAAACAGACATTAAGCCATTCAAGTCATTCTCCTCTGACCATTTAAACCCAGAAAATGTGTTGTTTAAAGGAAATAATTCCTTCCATTATTCTTATGCATTTTATAATGAGTAAAATTGATTAAGATAATGAACCAGGGTAAACAATAAAAGAAGCTCTTGTTGGTGTAACCTTTTTTTTTTTTTTTTTTTATTGTTTAAAGTCAGATTACTGACACAAATATTGAGAGTTCTGAGGGGGAACATCTGAATTTTTAGATGTGCACAGAGAATTGATTTTCCTGTTGTCTTGGTTTCTTACATAATTAATGTTTCTAAATTACTGCTTCTTGCCCTTCATGAAGAACAGAAGCAGAAATACACAGAGATGAAGCAGTGTTTCCTTATCCCACTTGCACTGTTACAAATGGTTCTGTGAATTCTACCAAGCATCACACAACCAGCACCATGGTCCAGAGCATTCTTGGTGTGGCCAAATAAATAATGTGGCCATGATGTTCCCTTTCAAACATCATCTACACTTGGGGATTATAGGAAATGACTTTTTTCCTTCATAACCATGAACACTTTTCTGTAATATTTATTGCTACCATTTGTCCTCATTCTTCAGTATCCTTCAAGTTCACTTTGAACATTTATTCATTTCATTAGATGCTTTTTGTCAGTAATTGCACCTGAGACACCACAGAGATTTCCATGGTACACAGAACTTTTCATAGTACCACAAAATTTTCCATCATACCAAAGAGTTTTAGAACATGTTTCCCAAACACTTGACAGAAAACAAAAACAGTTGCTGTCGAGGTGACCCCGTGTGTATCAGAGTAGAACTGTGTTCCATAGGGTTTTCAGCGCCTGATTTTTCAGAAGTAGATCACCAGGCCTTTTTTCTAAGGTGTCTCTGGTGGACTCGAACCACCAACCTTTTGGTTAACAGCCAGACACATTAACTGTTTGTACCACCCGGGGACTCCCCAAACATTAAACTACCCTTTTAGGTGTTTGCAGAGGTCTGACCTTAGCATTCCGTGCATTGCCCTTAGTTTTGTATCTCTCAGTTACTACATGATGTACTGTGTGCACAAGAATATCGGCAGTTTCAACAGATGACCCTATAGCAGGGTTTCCCAACCAGGGGCGATTCTGCCAGCAGGGAACATTTAGCAACTTCTAGAGAAATTTTTGGTTATTACAACTAAGGGAGTGCTACTGGTGGGGGCTAGGGATGCTGGTCAACATCCTACAATGCACAGGACAACCCCCACAACAAAGGATTATCTAGTCCCAAATGTCAGTAGTGCCAAGGTTGAGAAGCCCTGCCCTACAGAACCGACAACTGAAAAAAACCTGTTTTTATGAATAGCTGAAGTCAAAACATCAGGCCTAGGCCCCTCTGGATGAGTGATTTACTTATGCTCTACTCCGTCTCCTCAAGCACGTATGTGAGTTGAAGAATAAATGTCTATTTAGAACGTACTTTTGCCTTCAGGAACAAAGCACAGTAGGAAAAAACAGTTGTCAGCTTTTGACTTCCTGACTATGTGGAGTTTGCTAGGAAGTGCCCCACCACTCATCTGTCTCTCGTACTGTGGTGGCTTACATGTTGCTGTGATGCTGTACTGCCAGTATTTCAAATAACAGCTGGTCACCCATGGTGGGCAGGGTTCAACAGAGCTTCCAGACTAATACAGAGTAGGAAAAAAGGCCTGGAGATCTACTTCTGAAAATTAGCCAGCGAATAATAGAACATCGTCCAGCTCGCTAGCTTTGGACACATCATCAGGAGGGATCAATTGCTAGAGAAAGAAATCATGTTGGGTGAAGCAGAGGGCCAGTAAGGGTGAAGGAGAGTCTTGGTGAGATGGATTGGCACCATAGCCACAGCAATGGACTCCGAACATGTCAGCAATCCAGATGATGACACGGGACGAGGCAGCGTTTCGTTCTGTTGTACATCAGGTCACCGTGAGTCAGAGTTCACACGACTGCAGCTCTCTATCTGTCGATCTAGGAAATCCCAGAGGAGTCGGCTTTGTTTCACAAGAGAAAGCCACTGTCCTCTGTCGCTGAGGGAATCTCCCCAAATACTTGTGATTTACTATTTCAGTGACAAAAAAGCATTCAAAATTGTATACTTTAGAGTTACAACTATTTAAAAAAGAAAAAGAAAGAAGATAAGCAAAGGCAAAAAGACTTGAAGGAAATAATACCATTATGATAAACTGGTTATGTTAGGGTGGTAAGATTGTCCAAGACTGTTCTCCATTTTCCTAATGAAGGTAATGTGGTTTTGTAAATGTTAACATTTAAAAAGACAGAGCGTCTCCTTAAAGAAGCTAAAGCTGAGTGTGAGTGCTGTCGATTATTTTTGTGATTTGTCAGTTATTTTGCAAAGGCGATGTTTTGTGTTTCTTCCCCTCTGAATAGGAATTCCCAGCACCAGCTCAGAAGACACCATCTTAGCCCAAACCTTAGGTCTGTCCTACTCTGAGGTTATTGAAACATTGCCAGATGGCACAGAGAGACTGGTCAACTCTGCCGAGGTTGGTACCGCATGGAATGGGCCTAAGAATTTACTTCTAAAATCATGGACTTGAATTTGATGAGGCCTTTTCCTTCAAATGCGAATTATAACCTGCTGATTCACTCATCCCTATACATAACAGTCTTAAAGCCTGACTTCTTCATCTGTGAAAACAAAATAATATTCTTTTTCAAGATCTGGAAGTTTATCAACTCAAAGTTGAGCCCAATCCTAAGAATAGTATAGTATTGAAGTAGCAAAATTTTATTTGGGGAATCTTCCGCTTGAAGAAAATTACCTCTTCTAGGCAAGCTGGTTCTTTGGGAAAGGTGGCTAGAACTGTCCTTCTGGGAGAAGATGTCTGTTCTTCCCAAATTACTGACTTATTTCCACCTAAAGTTTAACTCATTTACAAGTAAACCAACAGAGAAATTTGGAGTCATGTTTATTTGGTCAAGGTTATCTCTTGTTAAGGAACCCTAGTGGCGCAGTGGTTTGGCACTCGGCTGCTAACCAGAAGGTCAGCGATTCAAACCCACCAGCTGCTCCTGGGCAGAAAGATGGCGGCAGTCTGCTTCTGTAAAGATTACAGCCTCGGAAACTGTATGGGACAGTGCTACTCTGTCTTATAGGGTCACCATGAGCCGGAGTCGACTCACTGGCAATGGTTATCTCTTGTTAACATGGGTCAGCAGCACTTGAAGGTAGTAAACCTGGCAGGATTTGAGCCCAACCTCAATGTTGAGCAAGGCACAAAGTATGATGGAAGAGGTAGGTTAGGGTTGGGGAGGGGGAAGTGGGAAATGGCTTAGACAGTGATTCTCAGCTTGAGCATGTATCAGAATCACCTGGTGGCCTTGTTAAAACGCAGATTGCCTGGCTCCCACCCCAGAGAGTCTTGATTCAGTAGGTCCTGGGTGGAATTTGCATTTCTAACAAGTTTCCAGGTGATACTGCTGCTATTGGTACAAGGACCACATTTTAAGGGTCACTGGCTTAGAATCTTGCCACTCAAAGTTTGGTCCCTGGACCAGCACATTGGCATCACCTAAGACCTATAGAATCTCAACCCCCCACCCCAGTCTAATAAGATGCCCCGGTGACTCCTGTTACATTAAAGTTTGAGAAGTACTGGCTCAGAGCCTACTTTCGTAAACTTGGCTGCAAGTTGGAAACACTTGGATGCCTAAGTCCTACCCTAAGATAGTACTCTGATTTAATGGGTTTGGGGAGGAGGGCATGGCTTGGACCTTGCGAGTGTTCAGTGCTCCCCAGATGATTCTAATGTGTAGCAGAGTTTGGAAACTGCTGGCTTAGGGTAGTGGTCCCACACCTGACTGTCTCTGAATCATCTGGGAGGTGTTTCCTGGCCTCACTCTGGATGATCCTGATTTAATTAGACTTAGAGAGCCAAGCTTTTCAGGTTTGGGATCACCTGGCTACAGGATCTTTTCTTAAGAGTCAGAATAAGGGAACGGCCAGGTTTTTCCCTTTATAAGGAGTTACACTCTGATCTCATGTTTGTGCCCTCACTTCATAAATTGTATCCCCAGACATGAGTCATGCTTTATGATGTCGATCGTAAACTCTGTTTTTAGACCTCGTTTGAGCAGGCTGCCTGGAGGTGGAGCAGAGCCAAACCACACTATAGCAGAGCCAAGCCAAGGGGTTTGTGAGGGATCCCCAGATAACTCTCTTCAGGGCAAGAAAGGGAACACTCATGGCCAAAATTAGGTTTATGAAGTGCCCACTCTTTAGTATAGAACTCTGAGCATTAACTGTGCTTCCTGGCTTTTTTCAGCTAGCTTCATTAGTCTGTTGGATTCTCTCCTGGCTCTAGACTGAATATATAGGGTAAAGGAATTATTTCAATGGATGGGGAAAGGCCCCTTCCGTCCATGAGCTCCTAGAATGTAGGACAGTCTGTAATCCATGAAGAACAGACTTTCGAGAGAGCTTGTTATAATTTGCATCATGAGTATATGATAAAGTCATAAGAATATAATGGAGGTGCAGAAGAGAAAATATCCTCCCAGATAGTCAGAGGTTCCCTCGGTAGAGAACTCTGTACTTTAGAAGACACTTCTCTTACTTCAGACTGTTCATGAAAAGGGCTGCATTTGGCAAATGTAGCTATATTTCTTACTCTTTATGCCTCATGAATGTAAGCACCTTGAGGACAGCGGCCAGATCCTGTTGATCTTAGTGCTCCCAATGCCTAGCACATAGTAGGTCTGCAGTATGTGTTCACTGAACCAATTAGAAGGACCACAACCCAGGTTGTTGGTGAGCCACGCTTCCTCGATTCTTATAATCAGTTTGGTTCTCTGAAAAGTGTGGGGTGAAAGAGAATTTCTCTTTTGTACTATTAGTGTTCTGCCTTGGTGCCTGTAAAATGAGAGCATTTAAATACAAAAAGAATGCTTCAATCCATTCCCTTCCTTGCCTGGATTCCTTCTGTTTTAGGGTAGGATTGAATTTTTCCCCTAGCTCTACAACTTGGGGGGGAAGAACTGACTTTTTCTTTTTCTCTATTAGGGAAAAAATACGTATCATGCAGCTCTTAGCTGGCAGCTAAATACTGATATTCAGTCAGCCCTGTGGGTACCACAGGGCTCAGGTGATGACGGGCCACAGAACTAGGGTTGACTTAGCCACCCGGCACAGGAGACACAGTGCCTAGGGCCCACCATACTTTTAGGGGCCCCCAAGAAGAAATTTTGATTTCTTTTAAAACCAGGAAAAAAAAAATGAACTTTTAAGATCTGAAATTATATTTGCATTTATACCAACGCAGTTGTAAACATAATTTTACATATTATTTTATGGAGGCAGGGCCCACGAAGGTCATAGTGCGGCCCTGCACAGAGCTGACCCCTTGGGAGGAGCACACAGGAAAACAGCAGTACAGGGTGTGGGGGCGGGAGTGGTAGCTGGTTCTTATGGAGAAAGGAGCAAGATCTCTCCTCTCCCCCTCAGTTCACAGGTATGACCCGGCAGGATGCTTTTCAGGCCCTGACTCAGAAAGCCCGGAGGAAGAGGGTGGGTGGACACGTGACCAGTGACAAGCTGAAAGACTGGCTGATCTCGAGGCAGCGGTACTGGGGCACGCCAATTCCCATCGTCCACTGCCCAGCCTGCGGCCCCGTGCCTGTGCCTCTGGAGGACTTGCCCGTGACCTTGCCCAGCATCTCATCTTTCACCGGCAAGGGAGGCTCCCCACTGGCCACGGCTTCCGAGTGGGTGAACTGCTCCTGTCCCAGGTAAGGAACCAGCCCTTCCAGCCCACTGGGGCCTCCAACACCCTCCTGCCTCCCGATGCGAACTCGGCTCCCTTCTTCCATGACTTCCGCCAGGCTGGAAAGAATGGTGTAGGTCTTTTGGGACCTTTGAGGGAAGGTGCTGGAAGCAGTGGCCCAGCTCCTGAGATGGCACCTTCTCCTGTCCCCTGCGCTGGTGGGAGCAGCAGTGTCACTTCAGGTCTGCCCCAGAATCTTCCGACCTGACTGCCGCAGACGCTCACACTTCCATCATAGCTTTGTAAAAAGCCACTTTCTTCCGTTTTATATTCCAAAGAGCTTCTTGAAGCTGAGAGACAACGTTTTCTCTCTGCCTTACAAGTTTTCCAGTATAGTGACTGTGATAACCATGGAGATTTCAGCACAAGTAGCAGAGTCGTCACTAAGACAGTGAGTGTGCTCACGGGTTTCATCCTTTAATATACTGGAACACACAGTATTTCCTTTCTCCTCCTTTTGGAAGTAGGGTTATGTTTCTCTGTCAATTCACTGGTAGGTCTCAAGTGTGATTTTTATGATGCCATACCAGCTGATTAAACCAACAAATGACAGATACCCAACTCTAGTGTTTTCTTTCCCCTTTATATAGAGAAAAGAGCCCTGGTGGCACAGTGGTTGAAGCGCTCATCTACTAACAGAAAGGTCAGCAGTTCAAACCCACAAGCCGCTCTGCAGGAGAAAGATGTGGCAGTCTGCTTCCGTAAAGATTTACAGCCTTAGAAACCCTATGGGGCAGTTCTACTCTGTCCTATAGGGTTGCTATGAGTCGGAATTGACTCGATGGCAGTGGGTTTGGGTTTGGTCATTTTGCTCTGTCTTGTAGATCATGATAAGAGTATTTGTAAATAATTCAGTCCTCCACCAGTACAGAGCTGAATTACTAGATTGGTAATTAGGTAACCACACAGGGCAATTGAAAGACTCAGACACTAATGGATTCAAGTCCCAGCTCTGCCTCTTACTAGCTACGTGACCTTGGGAAAGTCACTTAACCTCTAAGCTTCAGTTCCATTATTAGAAACTAAAATAACCCCTTTGAAGAGCTGCTTAAGAGATTAGAATAAACACAGGTAATCCTGTACAGTGCCTGGCACCTCGCAGGCATTTAGGAAATGGAAGCCTTACCACCATCCTCCCAGCTCCTTGCCCAGGTGGATTTGAGATGGGCATGTGGGCAGGAACATAGGAAGCCCTGGGCCATTTTAGGGGAGAGCCTCGGGCTCCCGGAGGAGAATGGCTCCCTTTTTATTGAGAAGCAGTGACACAGGGCTTCTCTGCCGCAGACGATGGTGGCCTTTAGCACAGCAGTTGCAGCAGCGGGCCTCACTGGCGGGGGTGAGGTTTCCTGCCCTGCGGCAGGATTCCCGGACAGCAGGGCTCAGGGTTCAGGCCAGGCTCCCTGGGTGATTCTAACGAGCGTCCAGGGCTGAGAGCCTCTGAGTCAGTGTGGCCAAGTGGGACAGCCAGGGTGAGGACTGCCGGCATCTGAGTCCAGCAGATATGGGTCCCTTGTTCTTGAGCTCTGAGACCTTGGGTGGGTTCCTTAACCTCTCTGAACTAATCTGCAAGATGGGGGCATGAATAGTACCTACCTTGTAGTTTCTGGGGGTGAAATGAGGTAATACCTGTCAAGCATTTGGTTGCTATTATTACTATTGGAGCTAATAATAATAATAATGTTGTCACCATCATTATCTATTCCCCCACTTACCAAGTAGCCTCTTCCATATTGTCTGCTTTTCAGCATTAGCAATTAAATGTGCTCTCTTCAAATCCAACATGACTGTTACAAAGAAAATCAGCATGGCAACTTTTAGCTAGATGTTAGTTATTTTACAAATTGAGCCCTACCTTTTCTTCCTAACTTGTGCCATTGCATTAATGGTGAAGAGGGGAAAGGAACCTCTGTCTTCTAATTACTTCCCAAAATATTGTCTGTATTCTGGTTGATTGTTCTCCAAATTGAAAGACCTGGCTTTAACTTAGAGATGTGCTATTGCAATCATTCATCTAAAGCAGCCCTTCAGTGGTAATAAACAGGATTCCCTTGAGGCTTTCTCCCAGGGCTTTGAACCGTTTTGCTCGGGTTTGAACCTCTGCTGAGAATTTGCATTTCCACTCCAGGTATACTGAATCAGAATCTACATTTTAACAAGATCCCTGGGTGATTCTTGTGTATAATAAATTTTGAGAAGCACTGCTCCGCTAGTGGTTCTCAGAACTGGTCCCTAACCAGCAGCATTAGCATCGCCTGGGAACTTCTTAGAAATGCACATTCTCGGCAGGTGTTTGAACCAGGACTAACCAGTTCAGAGCCCTGCTTCCTCCACAGGTGCCTACTCCCAGTGTGAGGCCTCTTAACTAAAAGGCAGGGGGCTTCTGAGGGCCCCAGAGAAATCTGTGCTGTCTGCCCAGCCACTTCCATTAAATGGGCAGGAAGGGCTGGAGTGGCTGTTCCTTCTCTATTGTCTGTAAAGCCAGTATGAACTGCTTCACAGATACGGATATAAATGAAACCCCTTCTGTTATTTTTACTTTAGAAATGAACTCAAGCCCTTCATGCTAAACTACTGGAAAGTTTAGCAGTTCTTCTTGGGGCTCTTCATGCCCCCTTCCCCAGTTCTGTAAGAACTCCCAAGAACTTACATTGCCAAAAGTGAGGTATTTGGAGAGAAGGTTGGACCTGCCCCATGCCTCAGAAGGGAGAGCCTCGAGTCTGAACTGCCTACTCCTGCTGTGGCTTCCCACAGCCACAGAGGATCCCTGTTAATGCTAGCGAGCTCTACCCATCAGACACGAGATGCTGGTCCACTGCTCATCCAGGCCTTGAGGAGTCTTCAAGGGAGACTAGCCTCCTCCTTGTGCTAGCCTTAACTAAGGGCACCCTCTCTTGGGTTCCTAGGGGTTGTGGCTATGGGCACCCAGTTCCAGTTCTTTTAGCCCCATAGACCTGCCATCCTAAGAAGCGCTTCAGAAGGTTCAGCCCTTGGGTCCTTGTGGGATCTGGTTCTTCCCAAGGCATTTCCATTCCTAGAATGGGGATTCTTTCTTCCTGTCAGCCCTTCATGCCCTAAGGATCTCACTTAATCCTCTTCCTTAGACTGTAAGGCTGAGGAGGAGAACACTGATTTGCCAATTTCTGTGGTGTAAATACTCCCACCAGGGCTAATTTCAAGCTACCAACTTGATGTCACTTATCACAGAGTAGGGAAGAGATGCTAACAGTTGATTCTTGCAAGCTGGTATGAGCTGCCTCCAGCACACCACTGCCCTTAGGCCTTCAAGGTGATTGTCTTCCTAAGGTCACTCTGATGGCCTTCTGCATGCCTCTCCCTAGAGGAGAGGGAGAGAAAACCCAAGTTCATTTTCAGCACGTCTCAGTACATTTGGTTTTCAGCTTCTGTTCGTAAATTGATTTGCTTCATAAGCGTCATAAAATAGGCATTGACTGAAGGCAATCTGACATGCCTGAAATAGAGGTTAATGTGCAAAAGAGACGCTTAAGCTTGTCTTGTCCTTTTAGGTTAGATTTTCCATCAGGTTAAATTGGGAGAAGCGGAGGTGAAGCCTTGTAATTGTCAAAGATTAAAATTTTTATTTTGTAAATTTCTTTAAAACATCTTGTACTGTGCAATATAAAAAGAGAGCTTTCACCGAATTGTCTGTTCATGATGTGACATTATTCTTAAGGCATTTAAAATTCATCCTCATTTTCATGGCTTTCTCAAAAGCAAGTGGAAAACTGCATTAAAGTTTAAAAAGAAAACAACTGATGGACCTCATTCATTTCTTAGGTGCAAGGGAGCAGCCACGAGAGAGACAGATACCATGGATACCTTCGTTGATTCAGCTTGGTACTACTTCAGATACGCTGACCCTCACAACACTCAGAGGTAAAACCCCTGGCCTAGTCCTTTCAACGTGCGTCAGTTTAAGTCCTCCAAGAAGCAGACACTAAGATGGAATTAGATGTACAAGACGTTTACTGGGGGAAATGCCTGTGAAGGGTAAAGGGCAGAGGGACTAGGAGTCTCTGGGTGGTGAAACCCCAGGCTACAACTGAGAGGTTGGAGGTTGGAGTCCACCCAGAGGCATCTCAGAGGAAATGGCTGGTGAGCTACTTCCTAAAAATCAGCCACTGAAAACCCTAGGGAACACAGTTCTACTCTGACACACGTGGGGTTGTCAGGAGTCGGAATCAACTCAGCGACAACTGGTTGGTTGGTTTTGTTGCGCAAGAGTAGGTGGGGAGAGCCCTCAGGCCATGATGTAGGTCCAGCACCTGCGAAAGGAGAAGAGGAAGAAGCAGGCTGGGTAGGAAGAGTGTCAGATGGCAGTGCAGCTCTGAGGAAGTCTCAGCCAGCCCCACAGGGAGTCCCCGAGCACAGCTTGCCCGTTAGAGAGTCCCAAGTCGGGCAGAATGGCTCTGCACTAGCCCCTGCACCAAACTCTGTGCTCATTCGGTGTTGGAACAGCGCAGGAGCGCACGGCCTGACACGGACACCGCAGTGGAGCCAAAGACAGCAGCTGGAAGCTGTCGGTCAGTGGTGCCCTTTGAAACAGGCTCTCTTGAAGGGAGCATAGGGATCGTAATAGACTATTAAGATTATTTACAGCCAAATAAATCCCAAGTGTAAGAAAAATAACAAACAGTAAAAGGAAGGAATTCTGTTGTAATAACCTTGTTGGCCCTGCAGTGAACCGCATTTATGTGGTCATAAAAATGTAATAATATTATTTATTTCACTGAAAATAATGGTGTAACTATACAGGGAGGGTAGGAGACGGAGAGAGTGAGAGAGCTAAGAAGTCTTCTCTCTTACCACGTGCTGTCAATAGAGAATTCCTAGAATTGATACATCAGTGAAGAGTATAAACATATTATTTAATAATTACCGGAGAAACAAGTAAAAGAATTAAAAGTGGTTGTTTCTAAGAGACAGGACTGGGGGACAGGGAAGGAATGGGGCTAGAGAGGACTGTTTTTCATTATAAGCCTCTTAGCACTGTTTTCATTTTAGCTATGTGCATGTGTTTCTTTGCCACAAAAAAAAAAAAAAAAAAGAATTAAGGGAAAGAGAGCAATAGGCATGTAAGTAGAGAAAGAGAATGAGGGCAGAAGAGCACCCAGAGCCCAGAAAAAGCACAAAACGCTGCGCATAAAAGGACCTTGCCAGGCTGCCGTGTCCATGGTAGAAATATTATCGTGAAACCCTGTAGTCCACGTGTAAAAATGCCCCCCTTCTTCTTCATAGGTTGTAAAAATAATATAATTCCGGTAAAATGGAAATATATTATCCAACCAAACCCATTGCTCTCGAGTCGATTCCGACTCATAGCGACCCTGTAGGACACAGTAGAACTGCCCCAGAGGGTTTCCACAGAGCAGCTGGTGAATTCAAACTGCCAACCTTTTGGTTAGCAGCCATAGCTCTCAACCACTGCACCACCAGTGCTCCATATATATAATATATCCTATATATATGGAATATGTATAATTATATGTATATAATATATATTCCACCCTCCCCCTGCCAGAATCCTGCCCTGCAGTATTACAATCCCATAATTTGAGTTGAGGCCATCCAGAAATGAGGGGGATCCTGAGTAAACAGTACCCCACGAAGACGGAAGGGAACACCAGGGTGCCCTGTCTAACCTGCAGAGGGGCCCCTCTCCTGCGTCTTCCTTCTAGAAGGGGCTGTGGATAGATTCCTTTTAGTACCAGCTGGCTTCGAACACTTGAGGAGTCAGGCTTGTTACCTTCTCAGTTGCTTCAAAGGAAAGCTTCTGACAAATGAGAGACTGAATGACCATGGTGGGACCCTTGACTGATGAGAGAGACATCCTGAGACCTTGGCAGTTCCCAACACGTGAACGCCATAGAGCACATCATTTCCCCATCAGATGCAGTCCTTTTAGGTTGGCGGCTTCATCACTGGCTGGCGTTCTCTCTAGGCGGTGTCCTGGGTAGATCACAGATCTCAACTATGGCTGCTTCGCATGTTTCACTCCATAATTTATCCCCAACTTGTTTCCTGGATGAGTACCATCCTTGACGTCCCTTTCTTTTCTGTCACCTGCATTAGCAGTTGGATTCCTTTGGGAAATTATTTTTCACAAAGAAAAAAGTTTTTTTCTATTTTACCAGAAATCTGGCATAGTGACAGGAGGAGAGAAAACCTGCTGTGTGGTGCTTGGCCAGGCCTGAGAGATAGGCTCTAGCTTCCCGCCTTAGAACTTGAGTCAGACAAGTCCATGCTGGGGAAAAAGTGCTTGAGTTGTGGGGAGAGAACCCACAAATATTTGAAATCGTGGAGTACAAATCCTCTAAAGGCCAACGTTTATCTACCTGACTGGATAGCATAAAGTGAGGGCGTTACCTTGGGAATGGAGAGGTCTGTCCCAAGCAGTGCTGTCCCGACAAACATACACTGTCACACACATAACACTCACGTACACACTCACGTACACACACAGACACACTCTCGCACACTCACACGCGCACACACACAGACACACACACATACACACACAGACACACACACACACACACACACACACACACACACGCTGTCACATACGCACAAACCTGCGGGGGTCCCAGCTGGAAAACAGAGGGAAGTGGAGTTTCCCCTTTTCCCCAACATCCATTAAGACTGGAGAACACTAGGAAGCCTTTCTTTGAGGATCTCTGTTGGCTAAAGTGTGTATATGAGGTGAGAGAGTTGTTGGGCTATTTTATGGTACTTTACCCTTAATATGTTTTATGGCATCCTGTAGGCCATGCACAGGCTCTTGCTGACTGTATTTTAAGGCCGCCTTTAAAATAAGATTGAGTATCTCTTTTAAAATGAACATTTAGTGCCTGCATGTTAGTCTCCATTGTAAAGGCTACATCGCCCTCTACTGGTGAGAACTCAAAAATCTCTAGTCTCTACTCATAATAAAAATTAAAATTAATCTAGGTATTCAAATATACATGGTACTGAGATACTTCTTTGTTTTTTTTTTGCTGGTATGCTTCCCTCTTGACATCATTTTATATGAAAATTGCTGTTGTTAAAGTATATTAATAATGTCTTCTACAACAGTTTTTATAAATTTCATAAATTAACACTGACCTGACTATTTTTTTTTTATTATATAAGCTTTTCTCTTATTATATTTTAAAAAGAAAATCCGTGTTCTTCCCTGACATGATTTATTTCAGGGCATATGCAAATTAATAGGTCTGTCTAATTTACGCAGTTGCGGCAAAGCAGGTTGTTTTAAATGACCGTTTCTCTTTCTTCCAGCCCCTTTAACACAGCCTTGGCAGATTTCTGGATGCCCGTGGATTTGTACATTGGAGGAAAAGAGCATGCTGTCATGCACTTGTTCTATGCAAGATTCTTCAGCCATTTTTGCCACGATCAAAAGATGGTCAAGCACAGGTGAGCATTTATACTATTCTGCAGAAGACTTCAGTTCCGTGAATAGCATCTTGAAGCAGGTGTCATTTCTCCTGAAGCAAGGTATATATACGTAGCAGAAGAATTCTATATTTTTTTTTTATTGTACTTCAGGTGAAGGCTTACAGAACAAATAGTTTCTCATGAAACGGTAGTACACATATTGTTTATGACATTGGTTAACAACCCCACAAAATGTCAACCCTCTAACTTCTCAACCTTTTTTTTTTTTTTTGGTAAAAATGCACATAGCCAAAGATACACCAATTCAAAAATTTCTACATGCACAGTTCAGTGACATTGACTACGCTCTTCCAGTTGTACGGTTATTCTCACTTAAGGTGAACGCTTACAGAACAAAATAGTTTCTCATTTAACAGTTATTACAAATGTTGCCCTATGACAATGGTTAACAATCTCACAACAAATCAACAATATCCTTAGTCAACCTTGGATTCCCTATCACCAGCTTCCTTGTCCCCTTCTGCCTTCTGGCCCTTGTCACTGGACTACTGTACCTCGTTAGTCTCATTTGGTTTTACGGGGCTGTCCACTCCCAGGCTGAATGGTGAACCTCGAAGATAACTTCACCACTGAGCTAAAAGGGTGTCTGGGGGCCATACTCTCGGGGTGTCTCCAGTCTCCTTTAGGCCAGTAAATCTGGTCTTTTTATTTGTGAGATAGGATTATGTTCTACATCCTTCTCCAGCTCTGTCCAGAACCCTCTGTTGTGATCCTGGTCAGAGCAGTCAGTGGTGGTAGCCGGGCACCATCTAGCTGTACTGGACTCAGTCTGGTGGAGGCCTTGGTAGCTGTAGACGATTAGTCCTTCGGACTAATCTTTTCCTTGTATCCTGTTCTTTTCATTCTCCCTTGCTCCGGAAGGGATGAGACCAGTGGAGTATCTTAGATGGCCGCTCACAGGCTTTTAAGACCCCAGACACTACTCACCAAGGTAGAATGTAGAGCATTGTCTTTATAAGCTGTGTTATGCCAATTGAGCTAGATGTTCCCCGAGACCATGGTCCCCAGAGCCCTCCGCCCAGCAATTCAGTCCCTCAGGGAGTTTGGATCTGTCTATGGAGCTTCCATGACCTTTCCTTGTACAAGTTGTGCTGGTTTCCCCAGTATTGTGTACTGTCTCGCCCTTCACCCAAGATACCACTTATCTATTGCCTATTTAGTGTTCCCCCACCCCCACCCCTCCCATCCCTGGTAACCAACAAAGATTGTTACATTTTGCATGTGAACTTTTTCATAGGTTTTTACAATAGAAGTCTCATACAATATTTGTCCTTTTGTGATTGACTTATTTCACTCAGCAGAATGTCCTCCAGTTTCATCCATGTTATGAGATGGTTCAGAGATTCATTGTTGTTCTTTCTGGTTGCATAGTACTCCATTGTGTGTATGTACCATAGTTTGAGAATTCTGTATTTTTAGTATACTCAGAGGTCATTGTCAGCCTTAGCCATCTGAGGTACATGTATATTGCTTAATTAGTTCTAGCATATGATGTTGCATCCTCACATAGAATCGAGCCTTCAGCTCTTTTCTGTTTGCTTAACTGAGCTCAGTAACAGAGATTTTTACTTGTGAGACAAAGAGAAATGGTTCATAATGTTAATGGCTTTTCATAGCTTCTCATGTGAGGTCATGTTTATCATCTATTCCCCTTTAGGTAAGCTCTATCTAAGCCTGGCTGAACCCTGCCAGGGTTATCACTCTGATAAAAGTCCATCACAGTTTACAGTCAGGGGAAGAATCCCACTGTAAATCCATTGACAATCCCCCCCCCCCCCCCGCCCCCCCCCCCCCGTCAGCCTATTATCTACTCCCCATTATATTCAGGAGAATGTGCTCTTTTCCGTGAAATGTATCATACATCTTTATTCTGTCCTTTGATCTCTTTGTTTTGTTCTTTTTTTTTACTGTGCTAGTCTTTACTGCCTTTGTTATTTTAATTTTGCAAAGCTTGATATTCAATTAGGGAAGTGCTTTTTCTTTGTTGGTTTTGTTTTTCCCTTCAGGAGTATCTTGACTATGATTGGGCCTTTGTTCTTCCATATAAATTTCAGAATCAGTTTGTCAAATTCCACAGAAATATCTATTGGACCATTCACTGACATACATGTTTGTGAGAACACTGATAAATTTCATGTGTCTGCTACTTCTCTTCAGTAATAAACATGAAATCATAATATTAAAAAAAAATCTATTGGGAGTTTAATTAGAATTACATTGACTCTATAGATCAATTTGGGGGGAGGCATGAACTTTATACAATATTGAATCTTCCTATCTATGAGCATCCTATATCTTTCCATTTTTTTATGTTTTTTAAATATCCTTAAATAAAGTTCCATTTTCTCTACAGTGGGTACAGTGGGATTGCACATTTTTGTTGCTTTATGATTCTGGTGCTGTTACAAATGGTTTCTCTGTTTTAGTTACTTTTTTTTGCTGTCACTGCCATTGTTTAGTAACACAATTGATTTTAGTATGTTGATTTCATATCTAGAAAGCTTGCTAATAGTTTGCTAAGAGTTTTTAATCATAAATAAATGTAGAATTTCATCATATGTTTTCCTTCATGCACGGAAACAATCATATGGTTTTTCTCCTTTAATAATTAATGTGGTAAATTTTATTAATAGAGTTTTAATGTTGATCCAATTTTAGTTCTGGAATATACCCTACTTGGTCATGAGATATTACATTTTTTTGTGCATTGTTGGATCCATGTAACTAGTATTTTGTATTAGATTTTGACTTCTATATTCATGAGTGAGATGTCTTGTAATTTTCCTTTCTTATACTATCCTTATATTTCTGTCAGGATTATGTTAGCTTTATGGAATGTATGACGGAGTATTCCCCTTTTTTTACTATTCTCTGGAGGATTTGTATAAGATTGCAATTATTTATTTCTTGGATATTTGGTAGTACTTACCTGTAAAGCTATCTGGGCTGGTTATTTCTTTTGTGAGAAGATTTGTATTTACTGTTTCAATTTTTTAAATGGTTGTAGAACCATTCAAGTTTTCCATTTCTTCTTGGGTCAGTGTTGGTAATTTTCTTCTAGGAATGCATCTATTTTTCTCTGAATTTTCAAATTTGTTGGCATAACATTTTCTGTATCTTATTTTTTTTCTATCTTTATTGCATCTTTATTTGTGTTTGCCACTATCTCTTCAAATATTGTCTCTTCTTCCTCCCGTTCTCCCTATTTTCTTCCTTTGCAACTCATTCTGTGTTCCATATCTCTTAATTGTCCTTTGACATTCTTTATCTCTTTGTCTCCTCATGCTGCATTTTGGATAATTTCTTTGTATCTATCTTCCAGTCTCTAATGGTCTCTCTAGCTGACTCTAATTTGCTGTTTAACCCATCCTTTTTTATTTCAATTATTCTTTACCTCTAGACTTTCTGTTTTGTTTTTTTTAATCTACTTGATTGTTTTTATAGTCTCTTCTTTCTCATATTTTTTATTTTCTAAAATATATTAAACATAACTATTTTATATTAACTGACTGATAATTCTATATCTGAGGTCATTGTGGGTCTGATTCCATCATTTGTTGTTTCTACTGCCTCTCACTCATAGTACCTTTTTTCTTTGTTGTGTGTGTATGCGTGTGTGTGTGTGTGTGTGTGTGTGTGTGTGAGTGTGTGTGTGATTTTTGAAAGACAGCTTATATTCCTTGAAACTTTATTTATGGGAGCTCTTTGGTGACTGTCTGCTAGAGATGATTTGTGTTAACTTATCCCTGTTGCCTGGAAATGCTATCAACCCAAGACCACTTTAAATTAAATTCTCTGCTTGAGGTTTTTAGGACCATGCAAATAACATGGATTCAGTCCCAAACCCCTATGAGGGTCAACTTATGGCTACGGATTCTCAGGAGAGATGTTTTTCTTTCCTTCCACGCATCACGATGAGTAAAATAGCCAAATTTTTTTGCTTTTCTCTTCAAAACCACAGATTTATTTCTAGTTCACCTTTATACTGAAGGTTCCAGCCTTATTGGAGGCTCTTCTCTTAGATTCCCAACCTTGGTTAGGCCCTGAGCTTTATACCCCATCTTCTGTACTCCACACTGTGCTTAAAAGTTCATGATCACTAGGATTCCAAAAATACCTTCAGGGTAAAAGCTGGCTTCAGAAACTGTATTTTCCTTAGTTTTGTTTCGTTTTGTTTTCACCAACTCACTAGTGCCTTTGAAAGAATGAGCTTTTTAAAAATCTTCTATGGCTTTTTAGTTGTTTTTCATTAGGACAATCATTCAGGCTCTCTTGTCTGCTGTACTGCCATTAACATAAGTCTTGGGTTTTTTTGTTTTCGTTTTTTTTTTTTTTTTTTAAATACAACATCCTTTAGGATGTTTTTAGTTACAGAGAAGAAAAAAGGAAAAAAATGACTGATTATCTCCTCCAGATAACCCATGTTGACAAATTAAAAAAAAAAAGTAAAACAAAAGTAATACATGTAATAAATTTTTTAGCTGCGCAGAAAGTGAACACTGCAATCGCACTCCCTGCACCTCACCTTAATCCTTTGACCTGTTAACAGTTTCTTTTGATTTCTTCCAGAAAAATAATATACGTATCTCCATATAGGTGTTTTGATTGGTTTACTCTTTTTTAAATATTACATAAAAGCAGTCATGTTACACATATGTCTGTTGCTATGTTTTTTGCTTTTTTGATTTAATAAATATATCTTTCCACATCAGTACATACAAATCTTCCATTCCTTTTTAACTTGTGCATAGTATTCCATCATATGGATATGCATGCCATCATTTATTTAAGCAGTCACCTATTTTTCTAGTTGCTATCACACACACACACACACACACACAGATACACACACACACACACACACACACACACACACATCAAGTGACTGTTATTATATTCCCAGCAGATATTTGGGAGCATATCTGTAGGGTCAAGTCCTGACACTAGAGATGCTGGGT